TGGCAAGGAATGGCCCCCACAGCTTGCAGAATAAGCACAAACAAAAGAAGCAGAATGTCGGCTATAATTTGCTCGCTATAGATTATAAATGTGGGAGGCCTTGCTGAGCTACAAAAGGCATTGACAACCACCAAAGGAAATATAATGCAGCAGAGTCCGTGCTACCCCAGAGAATGCTGCAAAGCCACTGCAGTCTTGCAAAGATGGATGGTTGCCAGCAGCCTTGGAATTCAGAGTTTGGCTCCGGCTGGGTGCCTGACCCGATCCTTAGAGGGTGAGCGACCGCTGAGAACAATCTCCACGTCCCTTGTGGCAGCAGAGAGGATCTTGAAGACAGGCTTGTTATGGCGCATGCGCATTATTGCACACATATCTCCCCGGTCTTGGTTCCCCTGCCTTGATTGGCACCGGACTTGTTCCCACTTGCAACTTACCCTTGAGAATAGGCAGGCCTGTTGAGTATGAAGGTTTCATTTCTCTCTGTCTGGCTTTACAAGGACTCTATCAATTATTATTACCCAAGCAGGTTGGAGAGCCAATTGTGAGACGTTCATTAAAAAAACCATGCCTGCCTGAGATTTATTTCCGCTCATCTGAGATGACCTAACCTACCACTCGTCGAAGCCTTGCTTCAGTGCGCTAATTAGGGGTGAACATCCCTTTCTCCTCCAGAGAGTGCCTTTCATCCTCAAGCTCTTACTGAGGCAAAAGATCCCTGTGGAGTTTCTACGGGGGCTTTGCCTGAATATCTTCCATGTTGGGTCCTGCATCAAGGTACGCTAGGCCAAATTCCAGTGCTGCCAACATCCACGCTATTGTTGAAATCACCCTGGCGATATGTACGTTAATGAGCTGGCGATAGGTACTTTAATGAGCAGGCTGCAATGCGCCAATAGCCCTGATCCAGAGAGAATGGGTCCATTTCCCTCGACGCAAGCAGACGCCGATACAAAAATGCAGGGTTTATCACTCTATTCTGTTTCCCCAACAGTCTAAACACTGCAAAACGTAGCACTGGTGTTTGGAAGCAGGGCAAGTCCAGCCTTTGGGGGGGGGGCAAAGGACATGTTTACATGCATGAAATCCCAGGTTTATTCCTGACCAGAGGTGCAGTGACATTGTGCGACTGTCACAGACCTCCCATGTTTCTGTGCGGTGTTTCTCTACGCTGCACGGCCTGGAGCAACCTCCAGTCAGGCTGTGCCAGGCCGCAAGGCATCTCCCAAGGCAGCAGAGGACAATGGGAGGAGACAAGGGTAGGGAGGCAAGGAAGGGCTTGCGACGTTGGTGCAATGTGGGTGATATGTCTTTCCAGCCATTTTTCTCCCAGTTGGGGAAATGGTATTTGTACCCTGGATCTTTTACCCCCTGTGGGTGGGCAAGCATCATTGGGAAAGCAATTTCAGAAAGAAAGAAAGAAAGAAAGAAAGAAAGAAAGAAAGAAAGAAGGAAGGAAGGAAGGAAGGAAGGAAGGAAGGAAGGAAGGAAGGAAGGAAGGAGAGAGAGAGAAGGAAGGGAGCGAAGGAAGGCAGGAAAGAAAGAAAGAAAGAAAGAAAGAAAGAAAGAAAGAAAGAAAGAAAGAAAGGAAGGAAGGAAGGAAGGAAGGAAGGAAGGAAGGAAGGAAGGAAGAGAGAGAGAGAGAGAGAGAGAAGGAAGGAAGGAAGGAAGGAAGGAAGGAAGGAAGGAAGGAAGGAAGGAAGTCTGGCCTGTGGTGAAAGGACCCTCTCTCCCCACAACTGCTGGCAGCTCCAGTCCAATTCGGAGCCCTCTCACAGTAAAGATGTATCACCCAGATCACATCAACTTCACATCCCTGTTGTGAAATTACAGCAAATTAAGACGGAAATACAGGTTCTCCTGAGGATAATGTCCTCTCAGCCCTCCCTGAACGGCTCACAGAGTCTCCCATCAGTCAACAGGAGCTCCTAGCCTTTCAAGAACGGCACCCTCCAAAGAATTTGCCAGGGCTGTGCCTGACGGAGAGGGATTTAGCGTGGGGGGACATGTGTTTCTTCAACTGTCAATTTTAATGTTTAATGTTTCCACCAGGTGGTCTATATGGTTGTTGTTGCTGCGCTAATATATTCCTGTTCTTTTCTTTTTAAAGCCCACAACAGCTTTTACAAAGCTCAGAGCTCACCAGGGCCAGCACACCGAGCCGGTTTAAAGATCCGACGTAAAGCCATCGTCTCTCCAGATGTGAGAGGTGGGAGAGCAGAGACGGTGTTTTGTTATGAAGTCGTCAAATGCCAGTTTTAAAATAAACATGTTTGAAGTCCTAAGTGGACATGACAGAATTACACATTTTCTGAATAAAGGAGAACCCCCAGCAACTCCAACACCTTTTTTTTTGGTTTTGTTTCTGAAAGCCTCTGAGGATAATTTGAGCCACATTTGGTTTTAATGCTGCTCCTTAAAATAAAATAAAAAATTCCACACAGGCAATGCCAGTGTTGTGATGCTTTGAAAACTGAAGGTCCTTGTCCCCTGAGAGATGAGCCCCTCAGAAGATGTGTGCCCTGCTTGGGGCATGAAAAAGTAGGTTGGCACCTGCCCACAATTCACCAGGCGCCATTATTGGACACTATCTTTCTTTCTGTTACGAACAGAAGAGAGGTGCAAAGAAATTTCTCTGTGAGCAAGTGGAGCAGTGGCTGATGTCAAATGATTTCCTCACCACTGACAGGGCAGCTGATAGCCTGGGCATTCCCATACCATTTTCTGATCTGTCTCCTTTTCTGCTCTTTCCTGTTTAGGGATGTTTTTAATGGACCCCTGACCATTAGATCCAGTCGAGGACGACTCTGGGGTTGCGGCGCTCATCTTGCTTTATTGGCCAAAGGAGCCGGTGTACAGCTTCCGGGTCATGTGGCCAGCATGACTAAGCCGCTTCTGGCGAACCAGAGCACCGCATGGAAACTCCGTTTACCTTCCCGCCAGAGTGGTACCTATTTATCTACTTGCACTTTGACATGCTTTCAAACTGTTAGGTTGGCAGAAGCAGGGACCGAGCAATGGGAGCTCACCCTGTTGCAGGGATTCAAACCGCCGACCTTCTGATCGGCAAGTCCTAGGCTCTGTGGTTTAACCCACAGCGCCACCCACATCCCTTTTTAATGATTTAGTGTGGTTTTAATATTCTGTTGGGAGCCGCCCAGAGTGGCTAGGGAGGCCCAGCCATCATCATCATCATCATCATCATCATCATCATATAGAAGCCATTTTGTATTATGCCACACACCCATGGCAGCTGTGTTGTGACTGGCATCCACAACACTTTCTTAAAATGTACTTACAGCACTGTATAAGGAAGCTTTTTATGTTTGATGTTTTATTGTGCTTTTATATTGTTCGAATCCTCCCAGAGTGGCTGAGACAACCCAGGCAGATGGGGGTACAAACAAAATATTAATATTTAATCAATATCATCATCTGCCAAAGTTTGATGACCTCTGGTGTACAGCATAGACCAAGTGCAGAAGCATAATTCAGGAGAATGTAACAGTGTCAGGCAGGGCAGTGAGGACTAGTAGTTGGAATATGGGTGTTATGCAAGGACTAGGAGTGTGCAGTACCTCTTGCATGAGACTGAAGGCACTGTTTGAATCAGGGTAGCTTTTCAATCAATTTGGCTTTTCCAAATTGAACTGCAATGTTAACCCAAGTGTTAGTAGGGGAGCAGGCGGCGCTGTGGTCTAAACCACTGAGCCTCTTGAGCTTGCCAATCGAAAGGTTAGTAGTTCGAATCCCCACGACGGAGTGAGCTCTGTCCCAGCTCCTGCCAACCTAGCAGTTCGAAAGCATGCCAGTGCAAGCAGATGAATAGGTACCGCTGTGGCGGGAAGGTTAACAGCGTTTCCCTGCGCTCTGGTTTCCGTCACGGTGTTCTGTTGCACCAGAAGCGGTTTGGTCATGCTGCCCACATGACTCGGAAAGCTGTCTGTGGACAAACATCGGCTCCCTCGGCCTGAGATGAGTGCCGCAACCCCAGAGTCACCTTTGACTGGAGTTAACTGTCCAGGGGTCCTTTACTTTTAACTGTTTACTCCTTTTCACTTGGGGAAAAGAAGTTGGAAGGCATACAATATGTTATGGTGATGGGGTTCTTTTATGTATGTCTGGAAAAGGTCTGGATTATTCATTATGGAAAGCACTTAACCAAGAAACATCCCTCAGGCTATCTGGGGCCTCCATAGTTTTCTAGAAGTGAAAAACGAGCCCCTTGCTCTCAGTCCCTTAACACAGCTCACGGATGCACCTATAATTCATGCGGAAGATGTGTATTTGTGTTGTTGTGTGATTTAAAACAAATACCAAACACCTTGGCCATAAAAGGGACGGATTACTCTGAAAATCTCGATTTCAAGTTTATCAGTGCAGATTTATTTTTCCTAACTCCAGCCTCAAGTCCTTGACCTCAACAGGAAGCAAGGAATGTTTCTACCAGTTCCACTAAAAATACAAACAGTTCTCTGTATATTATATTCATTATTACACAGTAATAGTATATGCATATTGTACATATTGACACTCCATGTTTCCTAAAGTAACAACACATAGAAAGACACACATGTAAGTGTATAAACATATTTGTGTACATATTAATACTGATAGAATTATGCTGCAGAAATGTCATACTGTATGGTGCTTGATCTTTTTATGCACATTATGTGTATAATGTATGATACATGAAGGTGTATTAATTTGCGTATAATTAGGGTTTTTTAAAAAGGCAATGCTAGGTGGTTTTGGACGTAAGCAGACAATGGTTTGATGAAGGAAAAGCTCACTCAGATCAGACCTGCCAAATTCTGCATATAAATCTCTTGAAAACATATTCCTCCTTCATCAGCAGAATACAGGAAACCTCCTTGAACTTCAACAGATCTTTCTTCCCCTACACTGTGCAATGCCCTTCCCTCTGTCAAACCTGAAGCATCAACAACCTGTTGCCTGAGACGTCTTGTAAAGACCTATCTTTCCCTGACCTATAAGATTGGAGCCTGATATCTCAGTTGGTAGAGCATGAGATTCAATCTCAGGGTTGTGGGTTCAAGCCCCATGTTGGGTGAAATATTCTTGCATTGCAGGGGTTGGACTAGATGACCCTTTTGTTGTTGCTGTTGTTTAGTCATGCTTACTCTTCGTGACCCCATGGACCAGAGCACGCCTGGCCCTCCTGTCTTCCACAGCCTCCTGCAGTTTGGTCAGACTCATGCTGGTAGCTTCGAGAACACTGCCCAACCATCTCGTCCTCTGTCGTCCCCTTCTCCTTGTGCCCTCCATCTTTCCCAACATCAGGGTCTTTTCCAGGGAGTCTTCTCTTCTCATGAGGTGGCCAAAGTACTGGAGCCTCAGCTTCACGATCTGTCCTTCCAGTGAGCGGATCTGTTCTTCCAGATGACCCTTTTAGTCCCTAAAATTCTATGATTCCATGACTGTGAATCCCCTGAATCTGTTTTACTCACTTTGATATTGTTTTATTGGTTCTAGGTTGTACTTTCGTTTTAATTGATATGGTTTAGACCATGTACACAGTGTACCCCTCCTTACAGATTTTTAAAACACTACACAGTTTAGAAGTGCAATTCAATAAATAAGTGGCCTAAGTGTGTGGTAGCTACCCGAGCCCCGCCACCCTGATGGATGGAGCCCACACAGAAATCTGCCCTGGTTTCTCCCTCCCTGCCCCTTTATTCTGGCACTGAAAGCATTCTGCCATCTTAATGCTCACAATCCCCTGACATCGTGCTCCTCCAGGGAATTGTGGGAAATTAAAATGGCAGCTCCCGGCATCCTCCTCTGCCTAATACCAAAGGCCCAGCAGGGGTCCTGCAAAAGGGCGCTTTGCTGAATGTCCCTTGAGACATGGACACAGCCCTGCTAAGTCATCCCAAGGAATATAATTGCGTACAACTCCTATACTAACCTGGGTGGGTCATCACCCAACCCGCCCCATTAGCAACATGAATACACCCTAAGCCCACAAATGTTCATAGCTGTTCAGGAAGGAGCTTTTCTCCACATCCTATATTTAATCACCTTGCCAGTTATACAGCAAATTCTGGTGATCATTTCTGCCTTAATAAAATAAAATAAAATCTGGAGAAGTCAAAGCTTTTCAGTTGATATAATGTGCACATTTGGGCCCGTGTTTTCCGTCATAGAAATGATTGAAAGCAAATCGCAACGTGTCTTTCTAATTGAACTGATTTCCCCAGAAGCCTTGTCACAGGTTTTCTGGTGAGTCAAAGAGGAGCTCGCTGGTACTCCAGTCGCTCCTAATGCTGTGCAGGAAAAGGAGTTTT